CCTGGACCGCCAGCTGCACTACGGCTACCCCCGGAACACTCCAATCCAGCACCCCCAGAACGAGCACCCCCAGAGCGAGAACTCTCTCCAGCACCGGTGCCACCCCCAGGCCCGCTGGGACAAGCCACGACAGGAAGCCCAGGACTAGCACCCTCCTCAACGCCAGCACCCCCAGACTCCACGAACGGCTGCTGCTGCAGCGGCGGCAATGGCTGCTGCGGTGGCGGCGGCGGCTGCTGCTGCGGCGGCGACTGCTGCTGCTGCCGCCACTGCGGCCACCACCTCCAAGGGCTCCTGGCCACTCCGGCGGGAGGTGGGCACACGACTGCTGCTGCTGCGGCTGCTGCTGGTGCGTCTGCGGCGACTGTTGCTGCTGCGTCTGCTGCGGCTGCTGCTGCTCCTGGACACCAGCCCCAACTCCCTCGTCAGAACCACTGTCCCCACCACCACCACTACCACCACCAGCGCCACCACCACGCCCTCCCTTGGGGCTGCGGTGGCCCTGACGCTATCGCTGTGTGGGAAGGCCGCAGCTGCGGTCTCAGTGGTAGGGGCAGTCGTAGCGACCGCGGTGGAAACATCAGCATAGGTGCACTGGGAGGGAGCACAGCCCTGAAAGATAGGGACTGCCGCAACACCGCTCGACTGAGCGATAGTGCGCTGGCGAGTCTCTATCTCAGACAGGGCAGTGACAAAGGCCTTAAGGGTGAGATCGCTAGGGTGCTGGCTAAGGAAGTGACCAAGCGGTCAGGCAGGCGCGTGGCAATAAGATACAAGGTAGTGCAGAACGGTGGGGGGAAAGCAGTAAGTTGGGCGGCAGTGCTAGCAGTGCGGTAGCTAGTCTCTAGTGCACGGTGGTGAGTGGCGAGATCAGCTACAGTGGGGAAAGCGGAAAGATCGGGGAATAGCATGGGGAGGATCAAGCGACCAGCGGAGGCGGAGGCAGGTGTGGAGTAGCACGCAACTACTACATCTAGGAAGTCTTTGGCGTTCGCGATAGCAGTGAAGCGGGGGCGCTCAGACAGGGGAAGCGCATGGCTAATGGCAAGCTGCGGCACAGCATCGCGAGAATCCTAGACAGCGAAAGGGAGCGCAGCAGCAGCAAAGGCCTCACTCTCAGCACTGGTGGGGTCAGCAGGGAGGGGATCAGGCCAGGGGGGGCGGGGAGTGCCCATCCTGGCCAAGGAGTGCCCATCCTGGCGCAAACCTGTCAGGTGCCGGCGAAGATCGACAAGCCAGGCCGCGAAGTCGATCGCGTGTCCCTCCGCGCCCAGGCGAAGTATGGCGTCCGCCATTGTGCAAGCTCAGTGGCACAGGAACATGATGGCACAGTGGCACAAGGACACAGCTGCACAGGGACACAGCGGCACAGCGGCACAGGTACTCAGCGGCAAGGCGGTACAGCGGCGTGGCGGCAGGACTCTCCGGTGAGGAGACCGGGCAGAAGGCCGAGGAGGGCTTGAGGCGCATAGGGCCGAGGCGCGTAGAGCCGGCATGGCGCAAGGGGCCGGCGGAGTGCTGGGGCCCAGGGGCACGGGAGGGCCGGTGGGCACTTGAGGAGCCAGCGGACGCGCAAGGGGCCGAGGCGCACGAGGGGCCGGCGAGGCGCGCTGGAGGCCGGGCAGGTGCGGGTTGGGCCGAGGCGTATAGAGGGGCCGACAAGTACGCGAGGGGTGGGCTAGGCGCGAGGGGCCGGCGGTGCGCGGAAGGGGCCGGCTAGCATGAGGGGCCGGCACGTCGCAATGGGCCATCATGGCGCGCGTGGGGTCGGCTAGGTGAGAGGGGCCGGCTAGGCGAGAGGGGCCGGCTAGGCGCGAGAGGCCGTCTAGGCGAGAGGGGCTGGCTAGGCGCGAGGGGCCGGCTAGGCGAGTGGGGCCGGTGAGACGCGAGGGGCCGGCTAGGCGAGAGGGGCCGGCTAGGCGTTAGGGGCCGGCTAGGCGAGAGGGACTGACTAGGCGCGAGGGGCCGGCTAGGCGAGAAGGGGCCGGCTAGGCACGAGGGGCCGGCTAGGCGAGAGGGGCCGACTAGGCGCAAGGGGCCGGCTAGGCGCGAGGGGCCGGCTAGGCACGGTAGGGGCCAGCTGGGCTCGAGGGGCCGGCGGGGCGCGTAAGGGATAGCGGGCTCGCTAGGGGCCGGCGAGGTGCGCTAGGGGCCAGCGCCGCTCTAGGCGCCGCTCTAGGCGCCGGCGGGGCGATGTGAGAGTACGACACCGTTACACTTCTTTCTCATTTCCATCTTTTTACTCTAGTAACTTTGTATCAATCGATAGTGCAACTTTTCCTTGAGACATTCGATCCTGTAACACTTGGTAATCAAAGCTTTTCTCACTCAGCCTCGCTCAGCTAAGCAGAAGCAGCGGGAAAACCTTCCTCGCAAAACCGCCGGGGGCGACTGATTTGGCGCCAATTCTGATAAGCACCAGCTCCGCGCTTTTTGAATTAACCCCTCCGCGCGTGTTTTGAACAGGATGGCGAACTTCGATAACACCGAGGATGGAGGAATTTTATAACCGCATTCCTGACCTGTCCGAAGGGGAAAAAGTACAGTCGTATCTCGCCGGGCTGAAGACCGAAGACTAACGACAAGTAGCAGCGACAAATTACGCGAGCTACAGTGACGTCATTTTGGCAGCAGAGCGGTTTGACATGGTCAATGCCGAAACACGACGGGCGCACGCTGGCAGTACGCGACTGGGCGACCGCTTGGCTCAACCCACGTTGGCCGACCCGATGGAAATCGACAGGTTCGACGAGCGGTCACGTCCGAAAAACACCAACTAGACGTGTGATTTTTGCGCGGTGACGGGCCATCGAATCTTCGACTGCAACAAAATGAAAGCCACACGAGCAGAGTATCGGGCACGCAATACTGGCGGAAATTCTTCGGCCAATCAGAAGGCAAATAACGGATTTTGCCAGTGATTGCGGATCTAGCTGGCGAAAAAGAAAAGATCCGTAAGTGGCCGTGGGATTCCAGGAAAATCAACTTCAACGAAGATGATTCGACGCGAGCAGGAGGAAATGATGGGGAAAAATCTCCACCCCACAACCGACGCAAGCAGGAGGAAATGATGGGGAAAAATCTCCACCCCACGGCCAGTCTTCGCCAGAGAAAATCGCTGAGAAAAAATATGACTCTGCGAAAAAGGACTATGCCGAGACGGAGAAACTCCGAAAAGACTCAAGAAATTATAAGGATTCGTTAAAGTTATCTTATAAGGATGCTTTAATGAAACTTATGTTTCTCGAGGGGCTAGAGCCTTGGAGAATTTTTGGGAGGGACTCCAGAAGAAGCAGAAACTTGTGGAGATCATACCGGTACCGGAAAACTTGGGGACGAAATTAAGGAGTGTGGAAAGAAGCCGACCTTTCCATGAAGTCAACGTCCTCTCCCGACACCAGCCCACAACGACTACCCGTTCCCCAGGGAAGACGTCGGTGGAGCTGAAGCAGCTCAAGAGGAAGCTGGGGGTCTACAAGAAGCTGCAAAAATCCTGAACTCCTCCTTCGGATGCATCCATCTCAGCAAATTCCGCATCGACGACACACACAGTCGTCAAGAAAGCTCAACGTCCTGAGGGAGAGACTTTCTCCAAGCAGCCTTGGCCAGCTGCTAACCCATGAGCAGATAGCAAGAAAAAGGTGTGTACGGAATATTGGGGTGTACCCTATGATCCTATTAACGAAACTATCTTTTGGTACTCCGAGCAACGCCCGCCCCTCGTGCTCGAGGTCTTCTGCAAAGGACGACGCCTCCAAGCACTCATAGACAGCGGAGCATCAAACACCATGTGTGACAAGGCAGTAATCGACCGACTTCGGGAAGAGTACAAGCCTTAAGTATTCTCTGCAACGATGGTGGATGGCAGCAAGTTACCAGTACATGGTGAAGCAGTATTACACCTACAAATTGGACCACTGTGCTGGAAACCTGCACTCCCCATCACCAACATAAGAGGGCTTGACTTGATCTTCGGGTGAGACTTCCTAAAAAGATTACACCCCGAGATCAACTGGGTAAATCGTACCGCAAGCATCTACAACAATGGAAGGAGAGTCCAGCTACCCAACTGGGACGATACAGGAGATATCCCAGTGGAGACACTCGCAAGATTCGAGAAGGACGTAAAGCGAACCGACACCGGGTTCCTGGCGATAGCGACATATGTGGAAAACGACGGAGAGAAAACCTCGGAACCTAAAAAAAAATTCAAAGAATTACTGAAGGAGTTCCAAGACATTCTTCCCAACGACCTTCCGAACGAGCTACCGCCATACCGAACACACCAACACGAGATCGTGAAAGAACCAGGTTCGAAGCCGACCTTCCGAGCACCATATCGGCTTAGCCCCACGGAGCTAGCTGACATGAAGAAATAAATCGAGTATCTCCTCGCAAAAGGACACATCCGACCATCCACTTCGCCATACGGTGCCCCAGTACTCTTCACACCGAAACCAGACGGAAGCCAGCGCATTTGCATCGACTACCGAGCTCTCAACAAGCAGACCATCAAGAACAAATACCCTATCCTACGAATCGATGACCTGCTTGACCAGCTTCGGGGAGCCATGGTATTTTCCAAACAAGATCTGCGGTCCGGATACTGGCAGATACGAATGGCGGACAATTCCGTCCACAAAACTGCCTTCCGCACTCGGTACGGGTCGTACGAGTATCTTGTAATGCCGTTCGGGCTCACCAACGCACCGGCAACGTTCCAAGCCAAAATGAACCATATTCTACGATCACTCCTGGACGAATGCGTGGTGGTGTACCTGGACGACATCCTCATCTACTCGCGCGACATGCAGCAGCACGTCCAACACCTACGACGCGTCTTCGACATACTTCTACGAGAACGATTATACGTCAAATCATCCAAGAGCGAATTCGCCCTCGAGAAAGTCCAATTCCTATGACACATGGTGAGCGCTCAAAGAGTTCACGTCGACCCCAAGAAGATCGAAGCCGTACGCACGTAGAAGACACCCGAGAACGTGAAGGAGTTGCAGCAGTTCCTAGGCTTCGCTAACTATTACAACAGGTTCGTGCCACAGTACGCAAAAATCGCAACACCACTCACGAATCTGCTGAAGAAGAACACAGCCTATAAGTGGGAACCAAAGCATCAGGAAGCCATGGAGCAGCTGAAACAAGCACTCAGGTCCGCGCCTGTACTCATCTTGCCAGACCCCGAACGCAACTACGTCATCGAAGCTGACGCCAGCGACCAGACAGTGGGAGCAGTCTTGATGCAAGACCAGGGGAATGGACTGCAACCAATCCCCTACCTCAGCAAGAAACTACACGGGGCAGAACTCAACTACCCGATACACGACAAAGAGGCCCTCGCTATTCTCATCGCCTTCAAAACGTGGAGATGTTATCTCGAAGTACGACAAACAACCGTCTACACCGACCACTGCAGCCTGAAATATTTGAAGACACAACCAAACCTCTCCAGGCGGCAGGTCCGGTGGATTGACTTCCTCGAGACGCACTTCCACTCTGACATCGTGTACAAGTCGTTGCCGCAATCCAGGTCGAAGGGATGAACCCACTACTCAAGGGACTCTTCACACACGGGTACGCCTTCGACCCCAAAATTCCTCTGGCAGAAAAGCGACACCTGCTACACTGGGACAGTGACATCGCGTACCGGAAGGGATCAATGAAAATCTGGGTACCCAATTACCCTCCTTTGCATCAGTTACTACTCGAAGAATACCACGATATCCTATACGCGGGACAATTCGGTAGCAACAAAACGCTCACTAGTATTGCAAAGCACTACTACTGGCCCCACATGGCAGACGACGTCAAGAAATTTGTCACCTCGTGTACTATATGTCAGCGGATGAAGAGCAGCAAGCAGAAAAAGGTAGGACTGCTACAGCCTCTTCCTGTCCCAGAACAGCCATGGCAAGTGGTTAGCCTGGACTTCATAACCGGGTTACCAACTACCACAAGCGGTCATGACGCAATCCTCGTCGTCATGGACAAATTCTATAGAATGGGACACTTCATCCCAACACTCACGACAGCACGCACCGAAGAGACAGCACAACTATTCGTTCGCTATATCATCTCACAACAGGGCATTCCAACCACACTCATCTCCAACCGAGACCCCAAGTTCACCAGCAAGTTCTGGAAGGAACTGATGTCTCTGCTCGGGACAAAACTCGCCATGTCATCCGCCTACCATCCGCAGACAGATGGACAGACCGAGCGCCTAAACCAAATTGTAGAGCAACTCCTTTGCGCAGCATGTAAAGATGAAATATCTAAATGGGACTTACATCTGCCTGTCCTGGAGTCTGCCTACAACAACGCCACTCACGCCACTACTGGACATACGCCGTTCTTCCTTTGTTACGGATGCCACCCGCTCATGCCACAAAAATCAACAGCATCAGCCACAGTCCAACCCGCACACGACTTCATCACGACCATGCATCATCTTTGGGATTGGACCTACAAGCGCCTCCTCGATATTCAGCAGCAACAAAAGCTCCAGGCCGATTGCCACCGCACTGACCACACCATCACCGTGGGAGACCAAGTTCTACTCAACACCCGCAATCTCGACATCAGTCATCTCCCATCCAAACTACGACCTCGCTTCTGCGGGCCCTTTCTCGTCGAAGCACAAGTCACGCCTGCCAGCTACCTGAAAGATTCACAACGCCTTCCATGTCCAACTTCTGAAGCCATATCGAGATCCTAACCCGGTCTTCTCCAAACGCCAACCCCCGCCGCCGTCGCCCGTCCTCGTCCACGATGAACCCGAGTACGAGGTCGAGTCCGTGCTCGCACACCGCCGTTGTCGGAATGGCACCATGGAGCTTCTCATTCACTGGAAGGGTTATGATCCTTTTGAGGATAGTTGGGTTCCTGAATCTGAGATGGGTAACGCTCGTCGTCCTCTTCGCGAATACCTTGTCCAACAGGGTGTTACTTTTACCACCCAGCTTTGAGGGGGGGAAGTGTGAGAGTACGACCCCGTTACACTTCTTTCTCATTTCCATATTTCTACTCTACCTCTAATTCTAATTATCCTGATTCCTTTGATCTTTATCACATCCCATTTGGTTTCCTATTCCTCCTTTCTCATTATCCTTTGGAATATCCTATAATTATAATTATATCACCGACCAGGCTCAGGATGTACTGGCGCGCTATATCTAGCGTAATCTTGCCGTAATCCCTTAAAGCCAATAGCCTCGTGTGGCTATACGCAGGGTGATTATATTTCTAGAAGGGTCTATTCCCTTTGGATAGGATAAACCTGGTTACCTGATGTACTTCGGAAGTATAAAAGCACCTTGTATCAATCGATAGACATTTGATCCTGTAACAGGCACCGTAGGCTAGGGCGAGGGGTGGAAGCGGGTGGGCGGACCTAACCTACTCATGATACCATGTCTGAATACTAGAATAATTAGAAACAAGAGAGTACATGGAAGATATAGGGTTGGAGATGTACCCTCTAAGAACACAAGCCTATCTAGCCTATAACTTCTACATATAAACATATGTATAGGTTGACACTTACCATTCTGCACCTTCTCCCCGCACCTTCGCTTGCACCTGCCTGTACGAGGTGTGAATGTACGTGGATGTGTATTGCAACTCGCGAAAATAAATAAATAAATAAAAATCATGTAGGCACCTCAAAACCCCTCTGTCTCTCCCCGCACCGATCTCTGCACCTCCCCGTCTCACCAGGTGTGGGTGAACGAGTTTGACTTGGGCGTGTGCCGCAACTTCCAGGCCGCCTTTGACGTGTCGGGGCCGTTGTGGCCGCTGCTCATACTGCTGCCATGCACCGCCGTGCCCAGAGGCGACGGCATCCACTTCCCCACCATCCATGAGCTGCGCTCGTGAGGCCGCTGTGGAGTCGACTGGAATGACGCCCGTGCATGCCTGTCAACCTCAGTCCCACATGCATCTCTAGGGGCGACGGTGTCCACTTCCCCACATTCATGACATGCGATCGTGAGGCCGATGTTGAGTCAGCTTGAGTTTTTCCAACCCATGTCCCACATGCATCTCAAGAGGCGATGGTGTCCACTTCCCCAAATCCATGACCTGCGGTCGTAACGATGACCCCATAGTACATGACATGCATTCACGAGGACCCCTTGGCAAATGACATGTGCTCTTCAAGGGCTTTCCATAACATGACTTGCAACATACATGAGTGACCGGACTTAGGAGTCCCGCCCGCTTCCATCTATAGAGGTCTTGGCAGGCATCCACTTCCCCTCCAATTCGAACATCCAGGACAGGACGTGCGCTCATGAGGTGGCTGTGGTATGGAGTCGACTCAAATAACCCCCCCATGCTGCTGCTGGGACCAGCCCCACACCACATGCATACCGCGACCGGTACATCCCTAGAAGTGACACCACCACACCATCCACTCCCCTGCCTTAGACCGTGCTCCTACTAGCCTCTTCCCAAGCAACCTCTTCCCAGACTTGCGTGCTACAGTGTCACGAATTTTGACGCGAAATGTTTTAGTGCGATTCTGAGAAGTGCGAAGTGAGATTCGGCTTCCCGAGATTAAGGGGCGTGTTTTAAAACCTCTTTTCAGAGGAGCAGATATTCAGACAAGCGCAAATCTGCACAGTAAAATTTCGACGCCAACTAGTTTTATGTGGTTGAGAGTGATGGAACGCAAATATGAAACGGGAGAATTCCGAAAAGTGGTCTTGGGAACACGCTCTCAAGGTCGCGCGTGAGTCCGGGAGGAGGTTGCATGGGAAGAGGCTCGTAGGAACACGTTCTTAGATGACTCGCACTAGTGAGAGGCAGAGGTTGGAGACAGTACTAGTAGGGCACCTGTTTGAAAAAGAACCTTCATTCAGTCCGTACTTCACAAGCTATGCTTCACCTTCACATCACAGCACTATGGTCTGTGACGTGGCGCGCTTTGCTGCAAGATTTGGTGCCTTGCATGTCCAAACTGAAAGAATACGCTAGAAACAAGTGAGAACAAGGGAGATTAAGGGTTGGAGTTGTACCCTCTAAGAACACACACATATCTAGCCGATAAATTCTACATGCAAATATATGTATAAGTTGACACACCCCCTAGGCTAGATAAGGGGCAGTGTAGAGCAAGGAACACGCAGCTCAGGGTGGCACTACTAGTCCAACCTCTCAGGCAGGGGTCCGAAGACCAGTCAGCAAGAGTACAAACAAGACAAGAGCAAACCAGGGCGGCACTGCTGTAGCTCGCGCATGACAAAGTACCGCAGGTGGATATGATTCGCTCTGCCCTCAAGTCGAGGCTCTTGACAAAGGAGGATCATGGCTCTATTGTCAGCGTACAGAACCGAGGCAGAGCAAGGCCGTTCACCTAAGTCAGCGAGCAAGAAGGTCAGCCAGCGGAGCTCCTGTGCCGCCATGGCACTGGCGTAGATCTCAGCCTCAGAGCTAGACTGGGCAACAGACAAGGAGCGAGTGGACCTCCACGAGATGGCACCTGAACCAAGGCTAAAGCAGTAGCCCTGCGAGGACCTGAGGATCTCAGTGTCGTTAGCCCAAGAAGCGCCTGTGTGCCCAGTAAAGCACCACTGGCTTGCGTCCTCCTAGCACTAACCCCATGCCCGATGTACTTGCTAGATAACGCGAAACCCTCTTAGCGGCCGACCAGTGCTGTGGTCGGTGTCTGCCTGTGGCCACAAAGCGAGCCAGGATGCTGATAGGGTATGCAAGATCTGGATGAGTGCAAGTCATCAGGTACATGAGGCAACCCACCAGCTCTACGTAAGGAGCACTAGGCTGTACTGACTTCTCAGGAACTGGAGCTGAGAGCCTGTGGTCTACTCTCAGAGGTGTGGGCTATGCGGAGGAGAACTAAAGACCGAACCTCTGAAGGACCTGGCGCACCAAGTGTGACTGTGTGAGAGCGATGGTGCACGCTGCTCTGTCCCTGGAGATCTGCAGGCCAAAGTAGCGACGCAACTGTTCTAGGTCAGTGCAGGTATGTCTCCTCAGCAGCTCGGCCTTCATGGAGGCCAGTGCGTCTCTGTCTGCAGTAGCGAAGACAAGGTCCTCTACATAGACAAGGATGTAGAACGAAGTCTGGCCAGCACGAACGAAGAGCAAAGGGTCAGCAGAGGATGGAAAGAATTGCAGGTCAGCTAGCGCGGCACGCAGCGTGTCGTGCCACTCACGGGGTGCCTGTCGCAAGCCATAGACCGGGCGCCGAAGGAGCCATTGGGTCCCAGGAGGGTAGGAACCGGTGAAGCTCTGCGGATGGCGCAGGTAGACTTGCTCCTGTAGGCTGGCCTGGAGAAACGCAGTGGAGAATTCGAGGGAGTGGATCTCGTAGTCGTGCTGTGCTGCTACGTGTAGCAGCGTCCGAAGAGTAGTCATCTTTGGGGTCGGGGCAAAGGTCTGAAAGAAGTCCACCCCCTCGCGCTGACTGAAGCCTCTAGCCACGTAGCGCGCCTTGAACACAGGCGGCTCTCCAGGGGGGCGCTTCACGTTGAATAGCCACCGACCATCGACTACGTTCACCCTAGGTGCGGGAACTGTATCGATGTAGGTGCCGGTGGATCTCCAAGATGCCATCTCCTGCTCCATGGCAGCTATCCACTGAGAGGCCCAGGGTCCCGAGGTCGCCTCAACGTAAGTGCGAGGTGTCAGGATGTCAAAGGCGTCTGGGTCACTCTCAGGGACTAGCGGCATGGAACAGAGATGGGGAGCAGCCTCAGACAAGAAAGCAAGCTCGTACTGTCTGTCCTCTAGGACGTCACTGTGAAGGGCAAACGCACCCCCAATGGACGGAGGACAGACAGGGTCAGAGACAAGAGGGCTGGCGTAGTCAAGGCGGTGGGTAGAGGCGAAGTCAGCGATGGCAGCGACAAGAGCGTCAAGTCTTGAGAAAGGGACAGACGGGTTGGTAACGAGGGAGGCAAGGACCCGAGGAACAAGAGGACAAGCGGCACGAAGGTAGTCACGCAGAGGGGGAGGCGCGACAGCGGGTGACGACGGAGGAGGTGAAGCTAGGAGGGGAGGACGAGACGCGTGGGAGCAAAGCAACATAGGGTGAGAATGCTGAACAGGAGAGAAGGGACGAGCACGAGAGGGACGGCGAGACCAGACGTGAGACGGAGGCGTCGGGTCAGGAGACAGTGGAGGAGACACAAGAGGGGAACGAGAGGGAAGACGAGCGGGAGACGAGTTTGACGGAGGGAACACAGAAAATGCGGTGCACCGGCATGAATCATAAAGGTACGAGCCACCTCCATAACCAAATCGATGCATCACTCAGCGACCCCATTCTGCTGTGGGGAGTCCGGTAGGGTGTACGACTGGGTGATGCCCTCCGCACAACAGAACTGTCCAAGCCGACTAGAGGCGAACTCGTCGCCACGGTCGGAGTGGAGACAGAGCACAGGGAGACCGCGGTGGAAGCGCGCAGCTACGACCCGCGGGATAAGAACGTCAGGCACGTCGGCCTTCCGTTCCAGGGGAAACACCGTGGTGTAGCGCATGTAGTCGTCAACGAGCACGAGAAAGTAGCGCTCGCGACGACGTCCGGGGGCGTGGGCTGGGCCCCAGACGTCCAGGTGTAGGGTCTGGAGGGGTGCGGTGGCAGGGCGAGGCGAGGAGGAGTGAGGAGTATGGTGCAACCGACCCTCGACGCAGGGCATGCACGGTGGTGCAGGTGAGGGAGGGAGGGCAGGAAGTGACGTAGGGAGGCCTGGGACGAGACTGTGCAAGGACATGTGATGCAGACAGGGGAGTGTGGGGTCACCTAGGCGGTGGTGCCACAGCAGCGACGGGTGAGTGAGCGACCGATACGAGCAAGCAGCCGCGACCTGGGTAGACGCAGTGCCCGGGGAGGACGCGGTGCCGACTGGTCCGGTTAGGGAGGTCCGGGGTCGGGCCGAAGCGGCGACGAAAGAGGTCGTCGAGGCGGCGGAAGCAGCGGGGGGTCGAGTGCGGGTGGCGGCACACAGTGCCATGGAGCGGCCCGGTGTGGAGCTGGTACTGGCAGCTCATAGCATCGAAGCTGCTGGTAGACGCCGAGCTGCGGGGGCCGCAACCGCCGCCACCACCGCCTGGGGTTCCTGGCCACCCCGGCGGGAGGCGGGCCCACGGCTGCTGCTGCTGCTGCTGCGGCAACTGCTGCTGCTGTTTTTGCTGCGACTGCTGCTACTCCTAGACACCAGCTCCAACCCCCTCGTCAGAACCACTATCCCCGCCACCACCACCACCACCACCACCACCACCACGCCCTCCCTTGGGGCCGCGGCGGCCCCGGCGCTGTTGCTGCTGCGGGAAAGCTGCAGCTGTGGTCTCAGTGGCTGGGGCAGCCGTAGCAACCGCGGTGGAGACGTCAGCGTACGTGCACTGTGAGGGAGCACAGCCCTGAAAGATAGGGACTGCCACAACACTGCTCGATTGAGCGATAGTGCGCTGGCGAGTCTCTATCTCAGACAGAGTAGTGACAAAGGCGGTCAGGGTAAGGTCGCCAGGGTGCTGACTAAGGAAGTGGTCGCGTGCAGTGGCTAAGCGGTCAGGTAGGCGCATGACAATAAGGTACAGGGTAGCGCAGAACGGTGGGGGGGAGGCAGTGAGCTGGGAGGTAGTGCTAGCAGCGCGGTAGCTAGTCTCTAGTGCACGGAGGTGAGTGGCGAGGTCAGCGACAGTGGGGAAAGCGCAAAGATCAGGGAATAGCATGGGGAGGATCAAGCGGCCAGCGGATGCACAGGCAGGGGTGGAGTAGCGCGCAAATACTACATCTAGGAAGTCCTTGGCGTTCGCGACAGCAGTGAATTGTGGACGCTCAGACAGGGGAAGCGCATGACTAATGGCGAGCTGCGCTACTGCATCGTGAGAATCCCAGACAGCACGAGCGAGCGCAATAGCAACAAAGCCCTCACTCTCAGCAGTGGTGGAGTCAGCTAGGAGGGGATCAGGTGCAGAGGGGCGGGGAAACAAGCCAGGGAGTGCC